GCGTGGAAAATCAAATAATTTTAGGGTAGATTCTTTAAGATTCGTTGAAATGTTTAATATTATAAGTGCAATATTGGAGCCTACAGAGTTCAAAGGGTTAATACCTCTAATTACATTACAATTTATCCTGCAAGAACATTTGGTAAATCATTTCAGCTATGCGTGTGATCGAAATCTTTCCGCCGGTAAGCAAAGTACAGTTCGAAGATCGTTTAAAGCTGGATCTGACCAACTGATCTGACTGATCTGTTCTCACCATCTCTCTTCTCATTTTCGATATCAATCTGCTTTCGCCAATACACTTACACGTCACCAATTAAAACCATAAACAAAACACATAAACCCCTTTTACCTCTGTGCCCTCTCACTAGTCACCGAGTCATCTCCCAAGTACATCCAAGTAATCACTCATCCTGTACCAAACAAATGCAAACATTTCGCTGAACACTCTATAATCTATTAAAACCACACTGATTAAGAACAAAAGCGATCTACGCATTGATTCTAAAGTGACAAAGCTGCGCAAGTGTAAACGCACTTCTACAGAATGACGAAACACGTATTGGTAATTAGCGAGCGGTTGCCCTGATCAGGAGCGGTAGACGAACCGTTAATCGTGCAGTCATTCGGACCGTGTGATCCAAATCGCGATAATGTTCCGTAAATATTCCACTTAACCGTCCCTCGATTCGAGGCGTGCGAGACAAATCGCGATGGTGTTCCGTGAAGAACGTATAAACTCCGTCGAAGCCGTTTGACGAAACGCAGCGAGATACATAGTCGGGTATCAGCGGCGTGTATCATCGTCAGAAATTACTGTAAGGGGGTATAACGATTGGGCGAGTACCCGCGTAAAATCCATCCGGGGCGGCGATCGGCAATTCGGCCGGCCTATAAAAGACTAATTAATTAAACGGCCGCTATGTAAACGAGAGGGACGTATTCGCGCTCCGTCCCCAGGTCGTAACCGGTCGAAACAACGCGTTACAAATGAGCCCGGGGACCGGCCGTTTCTATCTGCCTACGGAATTTAATTTCCCGTTCACTAAATATACAGGGTGTTTAACCAGACCGGTGCCGAACACCGCGAGCGCTTGGCATTCGTCGGAACAAGTAAAAAGGTCTTAACGAACATCTGCTCGGAAGCCGCTGGTTCCGGAGTTATTCGGTTTGTCTCTTACTTCAGACTTGTAAACCGTCTCTTAAGAAGTATAATCTATGTATAACTACCGCAGTGAGTGAACTGAGACAGTGCAATGAAAATTCGTACGATCGGAGCAATTAAAACGTGCGCATCTACGAGGACGCGAGCGGGAATCGCGAAATGGCTATAGGAAAATATATAAAATACCCAATGTCTGATGCTTTGTATAATATTCCTTGTCGAAAACCACTTTCTATAGTGCCCTATGTTTCCGGCTATATCAAGTTTTCTAACTATATTCTTCAGAATTCCTTGTTACACGAAGATAGTACGAAACCTCATAACTCCAACAGTTTTCACGTATTAACCCTTTAAGGACGAACGTCTCCGGCGACATCCAGCTTTAATCTAAACTCTCGAGTCACAAACAAGTAGCACAATTAACTAAATAACAAACAATCTGTAGTTGTTCCCTCATACCATTCAAAAGTCCAATAATACAATTTAGCTTCTCGAGAAGGCTCTTCGATATTTGACAAAATCTTCGCAAAGGGTTGAAATCTTTTCACTTCCGACGAGTTCTCGCGATCACTAGCACCGCGAGATTTCGACGGGCATTTTTGAACACTCTGTACACCCTGTCGGTCCGGCGAGGATCGTTCCGCAGACGTATAGACCCGGCGCGATCTCAAGATCACGGTCCCGTCACCGATCGTTCGCGTCCGGCGAACGGTTCTTTAACATCGTCGTACGATCGTAAACTATCGTGCCCGCGGATCGTACGAAACGTCGTTAAGATTATCCGCCCGTAAAATCACGGGCCGTCCCGGTGCCGGACGCTAATTACGATTATTCCAGCGGCCGTGATTCCTCCTTGGAAATTAATTCGAAACGCTAAATACCGGGGTTACACGCGCGCGCGCACGCCAGAGGCCGACTATTTACGCGTCCGGCGAGTAATAGAGATCCGCGACAGGTTGTTTTGATTGGCCTCAGCGGGATTTATCGGAATAACTCAACGGCGTTGTCGACTGTCACCGGAGTGAAATCAGTTCGTCGATTGAGGAGTTAAGAATCCCGTCCGCTCGAAGTCGGCCGATTTTATCCGGTTTCGACGGAAACTGCAGTTCCGATCTTTAGGTAGATACCGGCGGACACGTGGGCACGCGAAGGAATATGAAATCGAAAATAATCGATTGGTCCGTGAGAAAGCGGAGATTGGATAGCTTGTACTTTCATTTTTATGTTCCTGCGTTCGAATTCCTGTCGAATAGAGTTGGAGATGGAATAGTGGGAAGTTCTTTGGGAATCAACGCGTGGATATATAGATCAATGGAATAGTATAATCGATTCTGAAGCTCTTAAAGCTTATTCTTATATTCCTGTGTTCAAGCTTATATGAAACTAACCGAAGACAGAGTACACTAGAAGATATGATCCGTAACATAAAAATGACTAATTGCGTCTAGAAGTACCCCTTGCAAAGTCTACTCTTCAATTTCTATATCTCCATATTCTACTATACTATATTAACCCCTTGGCGTACTATTTACTTTCGTTACTAAGCTCGTGTAATATTTTACTATCGACAATCTGTAAGAAATACAACAAAATTCTCCATTCTTCAGTCGGAAACTTCATTTGAAGATAATACATTGATAATAGCAGAATAGTTGTTTGCTTTGATCCGTTGGTAACGAACATTGATTCTTGTTAAATTAGTTTAGAAATCTTCGTCACGAGTCTCGCTTGTGTAATATTTTACTATCGACAATTTGTAAGAAATACAACAAAATTCTCCATTCTTCAGTCGGAAACTTCATTTGAAGATAATACATTGATAATAGCAGAATAGTTTGCTTTGATCCGTGGGTAACGAACATTGATTCTTGTTAAATTAGTTTAGAAATCTTCGTCACGAGTCTCACTCGTTGTACGGCAAGGGCTTAAGAATCAAAGATAGTGTACACAGTTATAAATAGACGCTAAACGAAAAACACGAAGCAACAAGCAAAGAGAACTAACCGATCGCTGCGAAAAATCGCTGGCAAAGCCTACGCTTCGCTTTTGACGTTCCCCCGTGTAAGTTCGCGCGAATGTAAAAATCGCAGCGGGCGCAGGCGATCCGATCGCATCGGGCCGTCGCGAATTCCGCACAGCCGGTCGGGTATCGGCGAATATCGCGTGATTATTTCACGCAATTACGGATTCACCGGTATGAAAGGAGAGCGGGGCCGGTCCCCGTCGCGTCGGCGAGCTGCAAAAAGAGGAACGATCGTGAATCGTCCGGTGAAACGCGAACTGTCCGCGGCGACACCCTTCTCGATCAGCTCGCTCTCGTGTTCGCCAACCCCACCACCGCACCCCTTCGAGGAAAGATACGATCGGCGCTCGGAGCGGCGTTAAAGTAAGGTTCCCCGGGCGAAAAATGGATCGCACTCAATACCGTGGCCCCGTTCGATCGTAAATCCTCGTCTCCCCGGCTTTCTCTCTCCCTTTTCCTCTTTCCCTAGCCCTCTTTCTCCGCGCGGCTCTCACGAGCCGAGTGGCACGAAACGAAATGTCCCCGAGATTAGCCGCCTATAAAATCACGGGTAAGTCGCGAACCGCTCCCGAGGTGTCCTTCGAGGAATTACGAGGGTCTTCGCACCTCCCGGTGATTAATCGCCGCGATTTAAACGGGCAGATGCGCGCGGCGAGCCTCGGGCCCCCGATACACCGATCCGCCGGGCCCACTCGTGGAAAAGATCGCGCCGTGCGCGGCGGATCGCGAGAACCCGGCCGCGATCTCGAGCAATTTCACCTCTTTTTGTGCCCAAAATTGCCAATGATGAATCGCACTCATTGTACGGTGCGGTTCTTATGTTCCGATAAGTGAGATGTAACGATTGAGAATGAAGACGGTGGATATTTCTTATTCGTATCTTATTCTCTGACGTTTGTTCCACCGTTTTTCGTTTAGGCGACTCGGTGAATGATAAAGGCTGAATCGAGACGTCAACGTCGCTGTGATTACTCTGAATTTTTCACTTGATGGATTGGTTGAAGATGCATTCTATGCACGTCTTGTTGCATTATGTTTTATTATATTTTTAATTATCGATGAAATTAGTGTGCATATCTTAACCCTTTGGCCTATGACTTATTTCTAAACTCTGATCGATACAGCTATTTTGCCATTAATTTATTGAAAAAAAAAATTCTAAGCATATGTTACGTCTACATTTCCTTTTAAGTATAATAGTTGATTACAGAGGAATAATATTTACTTTAAACTCGAATGAACTGAGTAATATATATTTGTTGAATCATGTTGAAAATCTTTACGAGTCTCACTCGTTGTAGGGCAAGGGGTTAAAGATAATTTCGAAAGGTCAAGTTTCTTAGTTCTATCGGTTACAATACAGAAAGTTGATCGTTTCAGAAATAAGTTCGATGCAAAGGAGGATTAAAGGTTCGTTATAAATATTATTTAACGTATCAAAGAAATTTTTCTCCAATTTCAAGTTTTCAAATAAAACCATTCTATCCTTCGATTCCGAATAAATTCAAAATAAATTGCAGATAAATTCCAAAGAAATTAGCCCGCAAAAGTCGGTAGACATTTCCAACGGCACTTTCGGTTTACAGGCGGCAATCGAAGTTCGACAAATTCGCGAGCAGCACGGACAAACGAGGAACCCATTATCCGCCCATAAAACGAGGGCGCTCGGTTTTTCACATGGCTCGGTTTTTAGGATCGTCGGTCTTGTAACCCGTCCGCCGAGACGATCTTGTTAGGCAGCAAGGACGAGCACGTGCTGCCAGCCGTCAAGCTGTCCCCACGAAATAATCGGTCACGTTGTTGCGATTCCAGGCGTGAGCTTGCAAAATTGCACCGCGGGGCCATTCGCCAGCGGTAATGGCGGCGGTGCGAGCCGGCAACGGTTACTGGAGCTGTCCCATGGTCTAGGAGCTCTCAGGCACTACAACGACCTGGCCAACCACGTGCTGTCGCTGAATCAACAGGGCGCGGTCGTCACGAAACTTTTGGGTGAGTTTATTCGACGATTCGAATCGATTTTCAAACTATGATCGTCAAATTCCGTGAGGATAGATGAACCTGACGAGGATCTTTCGAGAGCTGAATGATTTATTTAGAACTCTGTCGTTTACAAATATGGAGAAGTTATTTTAACCCTTAGCACTACAGGTTGTTTTGTAATCAGTCAGCAACTGCAACTAATTTTTATAGTATTCGTAGGGGAAATGAGAAATTTCTTCGATTTTTTATTTTCCTTCCTACAAAATTTGGATGTGTTGAAGATCTAATAATTTTAGGGTAGTTTCTTTGATTCATTAAAATATTTGATATTATAACTGGTGCAATATTGGAGCCTACAGAGTTCAAAGGGATAAGAGACTTCTTTTCTTAATGTACAGCTTTCTGAAAGAACTATTAAATCGATGTGTTAATACATGAATTATAATATATATGAATAGATTTTAATGATAAATACAGTTTGTATAAGAGAAGGCGATACAATTAATTCGTTCGATAGCTCCAGTATGAAGATCTGTTAAGAATCATCCTATCCGATCACAGAATTCCACGAAGAAACCGATCTCGTTACCAGTAGAGATCCTCGTCAATTACCGAATAGACACGAATGAAATAGAAGTATCTCCGTTTTATCGTTCAACAATTAGGCGAAACTTTCATAAGCAATAAAGTATAAAAATACTTATCCCGGCACGTTCGAGATTCGAACGACATTCGATCGTCCTGCGGAGAGAAAGATCGATTCCGATCCTAACGGCGGTAAATCGAAAAATTGAAAAACCCGATAACGGGATCCCCGTCGGTAGAAAAAGGAGTAAAGGATCCGTCGAAAATTTTTACCGCTCGATACGGTCACAATGGCGGTGCTCCGCTCGCGGAGGATATTCCATTAGGAGAAAGAAGGAAGCCGGTCAACGGGCAACGGGCTCGCGGTACAACTTCATTCTTTATATAGTCCCATCTTTTATAATAATCCTTTCGTCCCATCTCTTATATAGTCCCATTTATATAGTCCCCTTTACTAGGGGTCTGGTCGCGAGATAAATGCCCGTACGGTTACGTGCACGTGTACCGATGCGTGACACGGATCCGCGAGAAGCCCGCTGCTTCCTCGATCAAATCCGGGAAAGGTTAAATCTGTCTTTAGGTAATGATAGACATTCCGAGTGGGCCGTGTAGTCCAAATAACGATCGTTTAACCGAGCGAAACCGTCGGCTCGCCGCGAAATCAGTTACCTTAGTCCGTGTTCTCCTCGCGGCAAAAAGTCGAAGACGATCTCAAATGGAACGGCAAATAATCCTCGGCACGACACGACGGTGAACGAGAAAGAGAGAGAGAGAAAGAGAGAGAAAGGGAGAGAGAGAAAGGGAGAGAAAGAGAGAGAAGGTAGAAGGAGACAAGGAGAAGGCGAAGGAGGGAGAGAGGGACGCGCTCGCGGCTATCGATCGCTATTATTTCCCCCGACGTCCAGCAATTATGCGCTCGTAATTGCGTCTGCGCCCCTTCGCTCAACTTTCCGACGTGATCCGTGGATACCGTTCGATTTCGAGCCCAATACGCGACGCGGAAGCTGACGACCGGACCATAAAAGGATCAAACTTGTCCTGTCCTCGAAAATCTTGACGCTTTACCTGCGCCGAAGGTTGTTCGATGGTTCCCTTGGAATCGGTAATTGAGATATTCGTTTGGAGAGGCGGTCGAGTTTGGGAATAAGGAACTGGGAATTGAAGTTATATTATTGAGTTGATGAAGAATTTTGCGATGGTTCTTCGGAATAATTAATGAGGAAGGGAGTTTGGATTGTGGAACGTGTGAGTGTTGGTTGAGTATTCGGTAATTGGAATCGTGAGTTAAGGATTTCCTTTGGAATTCTTGTTTGAAAGGAATTTGTTGGAATCTTTTTTTTCGTTTAATGTCTTTCGATGACTTTGTGTTGGTAGCATCCTCGGATGGAGATCATACTAGCCAAGCGCGCGCAATGTCCGAGCACTGAAGAAGCCAGTGCTCCAATTCCTCAAACGTGAACATTCAATACTTTGCTTTAAACGAATATGCGGCTACCAATATACACTGTATACAATGCTAAACTGCACATACATGCAACAACGCAATTTTAATTGCTTCTCAAGATGGAAATCACGCGAGCCGAGCGTACATGAAGTTCAAATACCAAAAACACGAGTACCCTAATTCTTCACGCTAAAAAACATCTACTTCAAAATAAATATTCCTCGAAGACTATAAACTTCCTCCAATCCTAAACAACACATACATAGAACAGCACAATTTTAATTGCTTCTCACTCCATTTTCATCAAGATGGAAATCACGTGAGCCAAGCGTACATAAAGTTCAAACACCAAAAAAACGAGTACCCTAATTCCTTACGCTAAAAAACACATCTACTTCAAAATAAATATTTCTCCAAGACTTCATCATAATACACTTCCTCCAATCCTAAACAACACATGCATACAGCAGCACAATTTCAATTGCCCCTCAAGATGGAAGATCGCACACAATATCCGAGCACCGAAGAAACCAGTACTCGACCGTTGATTGTAATTCCCCCGTGACGGTGCGCAATCAAATCGAAGATCCGCGATGGCTAAACGGCCCCTCGTGCCGTGAATTAGGAACGCGCCGCGAAAAACCCGCTGATTGCCGGAGACACCGTCGTGCCCGCCGCGAGGGGCCGTTGGTGCCGTTCGCCGGTGGACTTTCCGATGCCAGTAAAACCCGTTTACGAGTCAATTTCGCGGCGATTTTCGGTTTTTTCCGTGGACCGGGCTCGAGCACGATGACGTTAATCGGCGGCTCGTTGATGCCCGAGGTGACCGAAAGAACTGCTGCTACGGGCCCCGGATTGCCCCGGTATCTGGCCAAGCGTTATCCGGCCCGTTCTGCCCGGTGAAATAAGAGGGAGCGCCCCGGTATCGCCGGCTCTGCCCGAGTAAGATGTAACGACCGTCACGAAGAAATGGCGCTCTTCCGAGCTCGTTAGTCGGCCCGGGATTAACTCGTAACAGCTGTTTCTTTCGCGCGTAAAACGCCTCGCCTCGCACCGCTCGCGCGTTCCCCAATAATTTGTCAATAATTGCCGCGATCCTTCCGTGTTCCCTCGGGAATTTTCTCTAGTTGTTCGCCGGAAGTTCGATCGCTCGGTGGAAAAACCGATCGAGCTGTTAAGCTTGTCTCGGTGAAAGTTGGCGGCCGAATGTTTGAGCAGGGTAGATCCATTAGTAATGGTAACGATTCAGTTTGCTTTGCTTGCTCGTTCTCGTGGTTCCTTTGGTATTTTCCGAGAGATGTTCGATTTTGAAATCGGTTAGATTAAAGGTAGAGAGATTTAGGGTAATATTGTGTTCTTCTCGAGTATAGGTTGTTAACTGTCAATTCCAAATGTGGTCTGGTAATTTTGAACCACTTGCCTGCGCAGTTGCGACTAATCGATTCCGTGGAACCTGTAAAGTTGGAATTAAGGGCATAGCTAACCCTGACTTATGATTCCGTAGGTGTGCACGCGCGTCGATCTATTTATTATTAAGAACTTCCGTCGACGTAAAAATTCACGTGTATCTCGGAGTATCGACGTCTTGCTGCTTCCATGTTCAGACTAAGATCAAACCAAAGAAATTCCTACGAGTCGGGCAAACTTACTATATTTCTCCATACCTTCCTCATTTCATAATCATCCGCATTCGTCAATGCAACCGCTAGTCAGCCGTCATTCACAGAAACTCCGCGAGCGCAATTAAGACTTCGATCGACTAACGTTCAGCTTGCTCAATTTCCACGGTACTTTCTCGTACAATCATCCTTTGTATCCTCTATAATTACTATACCGATTCTTCTACATCCATGGGAAATTTATAAGTGCAAAATTGCACAGAACGCGTATGACACAAGAAATATACAAACTATCTATAGTCTACTCTCATGACATTCCTTAGTAAAAACCATTCTCCATTGTGACTCTGCTTTTCTACTTAAATACTCAAAAATTAGAATTTGCATAAAGATCCGTTTCCAAAAGAAGCATCGGGTTCAGCTCTTCCTTGGTCAACGCCGCGAGCAAGACTCCGGTGCCCCATCCCCTATTCCTCATCAGTCCAGGTGGCAACTGTCGATCGGCGCGCAGCGCCGCAGCGAGGCGAGGCGAGGCGAGGCGAGGAGACGCATCGCTCGGACCGAAATAAAGTTATTAAACTTGATCCGCGATGATGGTATCCGGATGCCGGGTAGGCAAATTCAGTTTAGCCGCGCAGGTGCGAAACGATCCACGGAAAATGTTGTCCGGCGGCGTCGTCCGCGCGGACGGGAGCCGGCCTCTCGTCCGAGCAGCTCGCCAGGGGAAGGAAGAGGAACGCAGAACGCGGCCGGTCGGGGAGCAATAAAAAATGGAGGCGAGCCACCGAGCATCGGTGGAACGCGCGCTGGGTTTCTCTCTTTCTCGGCTGGCTGCTGCCTTGGTCCTCGTTAACTTTACGAGCCGCTCGTAAAAATACCGTTCGGCCTGCTCTCTCGGCTCGCCGGTAATGTCTTCATCTCCACCGGATACGGACTCCTTAGGCGTCTCGAGGTGAATATAATGTACCATAATCGACCGGCCAATTACTTAACAGCGGCAAACAATTAATCCCACGGCGGCAGCGCGGTCCACCGGTCCCCGGCCGACCGATTCCACCCGGTCCCACCGGAATCCTTCTTACACGATCCGCGGAACCCCATTCTTTCGCGGACGATCCGCCGTCTTCCTTACTCCATCGGTCACGCTGGAATCTTATGGTTTTATTGACTCTTCGTAGAGCGTTCTGGAACCGCGAACGGAACCGAGGGGTCTTCGAGTTCTCGATTTGAGGTATCGGATCTTGGGGTTTTCAGTTTGACGCGTCGTGAAGCTTTATGGTTAGGGTTTAGCTTTGAGGCGTTGAATCTTGGAGTCTCAGGGTTTTAGCTTTGAGATTTTGGGAGAGTATGTAGGTTATTAT